CCCTCTCTCTGTCTCTTTTTCTGTGTTTATGACCACGATGCCTGTGACGTCGATGACTTTTTCTTCCTCCCAGAGGCACATGAACACCAATGAACAGAGTCCTGTGACCTATATCAGGAAGTAAATACAAAAAATTAAACTCAAAATTTCCTCAAGTCATCTTCTTTGTCCATTGTCTGTTACATTATTTTACTGTTATTGCTTCTGTTTACACCTTAAAAGTTAGAAATGTTCAGGATAATAGCCATGGCACCAGACGCTTTTTAGTTTTGTGATTCAAAGCATGTAGGCTCTAATACATACATCTGGACTCCACATGTCTGTTATATATTCATTCATTCTCTCTCTCTCTCTCTCCCCCGCCTCCCTCCCTCCCTCCCTCTCCCTCTCTTTCTCTCTCTATCTCTCTCTCACCATTCGCCAAGGAGATGCAGTCGCTCTGTACAATCTTTTTATTGTTGTTGTTGTTAGGTGCCATCAAGTTGAATGTGACTCATACCAACCCTATGACCAGGAAATCTGAACTCCGTGTTATTCTATGCCATCTTCACACTTCCTGACACACTAGAGCTCATTTCAGCAGTCACCTTGTCTTCCTGTCCTTTACTGACCCTCCACCCTTTTAAGCATCATGTTCCTCTCCAAGGAATAAGCCCTTCCTAGCAACATACCCAAAGTATGTGAGGCAAAGCCTCATCATTCTTGCCTCCAAAGAGCATTCTTCTCATACACATGTCAAACTCAACCGTCCTGGAAATTAACCTTTCATTTGTCCCTCAAGTATCAATTCTTCCCTACCTTAGTAAATACACCATCATCAATCCTGTTATCTCATAATCATTCAATTTTTCCTCAGGCTCTGACTTCTAAGCTTCTTAACTACATTTCTTCTTCAACAACCCTATTGCTACTGTCTTAGCTCTGGACCTTACTCTCACCAAGACTAAACTAACATTTTCTTTAATATCTCTTTGTAAGTACAGTCTTTTCCCACTTATTGATTGGGATATTACTTCCTCTGCCTTAATCTCACTTATTTCTTCCTCATATCTATTAGACTAAAGTTGCAATTACTCTGGTAAGAAGCCGTGCTGTAATCTCAAAGGCATAAGGTTCAAATCCTCAGGTTTCTCTGAGGAAGATATATGGGTAATCTCCTCCTATGCAATATAGTGCTTCTGAAAACCCACTATTGTTGTTGTTGTTGTTGCTCTTAAGTGTTGTTGAGTCATAGGTGACTCATAGCGACTCTATGAACTAAAGACCTGAATATTTGTATAACTTCCATCATTTCTCCACATTTATAGGGTTTTCTGAGGCTATTTCAGAAGAGGATGCCACTCTTCCAAGTTTAATTGGGGAGCTCCACCAAACATTGTTCACCATGGGTAACCATTATCCCACTTGGCATATCAGTGTTCACAGTGTTTAGCATCATAGCAACCACAAGTTACCTCTATACAGTAAATGAACAGACCAGTGCTATACAACCTAGAAGAATGTTTAACCAAAAACAATTGTAACCAAAACATGCTTCAAATGCTATGAACTCCATTGTTCCAAATTCCTCCATAATCATGCATTCTCATTGGCTCTCACCACCCAAAAATGCCCATCTGGGAGCATTCCTACAACACTCCTTGACTTTTGAAAGAAAGGCATTTACAAGAGTAAAGCAATATAATGTGACTTCTTTGGATGAACATATGCAAATCAATGATGATAACACATACCTTTCATCTCCAAATAAATGCACAATAATATGTATAATAAACATGCAATAAACCTTAAATTCCCAACAATAGTTTTAACTAAATTAGAACAAAAGCTTCTAAAATGCATAAAGAAAATGGCAAAGGATAACAACTAATAAAATTTTAAAGAAGCTACAAAAAGAACTTCTGCTAGATATCGAAACACACGATGAAGTTGAATAGGAAAAAACTGGAATTTGCATATGAGTAATTGATGTTCTGACTCACAGTCTGCCCTACTGAGCTTCTCCAATGATTTCTTGAACAAATGTAGTCAATTCTATTCCTTTGCAGCCCATCAGGTTAGATCCATGTGTAAAGTCATCATTTATGTCTTTTTTAAAAAGGTCTTTTCAATGAATAAATCATTGTAAATATAAAATTCAATCATTCTATTTCCAGCCTCATTTCTGTCACCAAGCCCATATTTTCCAAACACTATTCCTTCTTCATTGTTTCCCACTTTTGCATTCAGTCACCACTTACCATTAATGCATCTTGATTGGATGTTCAATCAATTTTGGACTGCAAGATTTGGTAAAAATTCTCAATCTCTTCCCCTTTCGCTCCATATGCAGGAGCATATATTTAAAAAACAGTTGTGTTAATGGGTCTTCCTTGTATGTATAAGGATATTATTCTATCACTCACAAAATTATATTTCAGGGTAGAACTTTAAATTGACTTTTTTCTATGAATGCAACACCATTTTCTTCTGTTTTTCATTCCTGGCATATTATATAATTATCGGATTCAAAATGGCCAAAGCTGGTCCATCTCACCTAACTAGTATGTTGATGTTCGTTCATGTGTTCCATTTCATTTTTATGGGGAAATCTGCAGTGTCAGTTTGAGGCCAAAAATGTGTCTGATTCAGGCCTTAGTCTTTCTGATCACTTGGGTAACAGACAAAGATTTGATGCCTTTGACCTCTGGTGTTTGAGAAGAACTCTGAATATTCCATGGATGGCCAAAACAACAAACAAATTTATCTTGAACAGGGTGAAGCCAGAGTGCTCTTAGGAGGCAAGAACATAAATTGAAAGAATTAAAGAACAAATTTAATCTTTGAATTGCCATACTAAAGGATGCTATGGGTAGACTATTGAATGATGCAGGAAGCATCAAAAGAAGATGGAAGGAGTTCACAAAGTCACTGTACCAAAAAGAATTGGCTGACACAGAAGAATTTCATTAAACAATATATGATCTAGAGGCATTTAATGATGAAGTAGGACATTCAAGCTGCTCTGAAAGAACTGGGAAAAAACAAGGCCCCAGGAATTGATACAATACCAATTGACATATTTCAACAACAGATGCTGCCCTGGTTGCTGCTCACCAGGTTGTGCCAAGAAATCTGGAAGACAATATTCCTGGCCAACTGACTGGAAGAGAACCATATTTATTCCCTTTCCAAAAATAGGTGACCTGACAGAGTGTGAAAATTATTGAACAACATTACTAATAATACACACAAACAAAATCCAACTGAAGATTATTCTGAAACAACTGCAACAGTACATTGATGGAGAACAACAGGAAGTACAAGCTGAGTTTAGAAGAAGTTGTGACACTAGAGAGAGATATTATTGCCAATGTCAGAAGGATCATGGCAGAAAACATAAAGTATCAGAAGAATGTATATGTTTCATTGACTACACAAAGGTATTTGATTGTGTGGATAACAACAAACTGCGGCTAACCTTGAGAAGAATGGAGATCCCAGAACACTTGATTGCGCTCACGCGGAACTTATACTTGACCAGGAATCAGGGCTCAGAACAGAGCAAGGAAACACTGCCTGGCCCAAAATCAGGAAAACAGTATGTCAGGGATATGTCTTATCTCCGTACCCTTTCAACCTGTATGAAGAACAGATCATTCAAGAAGCTGAGCTTTATGAGGAGGAATGTGGTCTCAGGACTGGAGAAAGACACTTCAACAATCCCTGATACGCAGATGACATAACTCTGCTTGCCGAAACTGAAGAGAACCTGAAGCGTCTGCTACAAAAGGTCAAGGACTGCAGCAGTCTTCAATATAGATTGAAGCTCAGTATCAAGAAGTCAAAGACTCTCACCATTGGGCCAATTGGAAGTACCACGATAGATGGAGAAGAGACTGAAGTTGTAAACACTCTTGGCACCAGCTGTCAGAAAATCAAAAGACAAACTGCATTGGTGAAGTCTGCCATCAGGGACCTCTCCAAAGTCCTAAAGAGTAATGATGTCAGTCGAGGACCCAAGGTGTGCATGATCCAGGCCATGGTCTTTGCAATTACTTGCTATGTATCAGAGAGCTGGACAGTGACTAAGGATGACAGGAAGAATTGATGCCTTTGAGATTTAATGTTGGAGAAGACACTGAACATATCATAAGCCACCGAGAGAACAAAAAGCTCTGTCTCAGAGAGGGTGAAACCAAGTTTCTCCTTAGAGGTAAGGATTTTGAAGCTCCATCTCACATACTTTGGTCATGGGATCAGGAAAGACCAGTCCTTGAAGAATGACATAATTCTTGGAAGGGTGGAGGGACAACACAGGAGAGGAAGACCCTGGATGAGATGGATTGACATAATAATGGGGATAGGTTGTCAGTAAGACTGGCTCATGATAGGGCAGCATTCAGAGCTATTGCACATAGGGTCACTAAGAGTTTCAGGCAACTTGATAACACTTAACACATCGTAACAATATATAAATAATAGACAAACTATAAATATGTGCAATACAGATAAATCTCACAAACATGCTGTCAAGCCAATAAAAAACCAACAAAATCCAGTCTGATTTCCATTATAAACATTAATAAAACAATAAAACAATAATATATTACCTAAGAATACATACATAGGAAAAAAATAGAAAAATTGCAATAACTATTAACTGTGGTACAAAGAAAGGCAGGAACTGAAATTAAGGAAAAGTACATGATAAGCTTCTCAGGTTTAGCAATGTTTCTTTCCTTGATAGAAGTGCTTACACTAAATTATCCATTTAAGTCTATGTATAAATGTCCTGCATCTTTTTCCTGTATGCATGTTTCATCTCACCTAATATATATTTATATATATACATATAACAGAGTAAGAGAGAATACAATGGAGAAGCCAATCTTATACATAATGTAGAAGAGTCAGACAAGATTAATATGGAAAATAAGCTGTCACAGTAGGAAATGGCAAAATTATTTGAAAAAAATATTTTCAGTGGCTATAAACATTTAAATTGAGTAAATATTGACTATTGTCTATTGTAGCAGTGAAAAATTCTCCAGAGATAGTACTTGAACTAAGCCTTATAGATTGCAAATGTTTGTAACAATCACTGGTTAAGATGATCGCTCTTATAC